CGGCGATGCGCTGCCGTGCGGAGGCCACGTGTTCGCATGAACAAAACGTATGTTTTTTTAAGAAGACGTCCAATGAGCAGGAAGAATTTACCGACCTTTAATTCCCTTCGCTTCTACACTGTATTCCTTAACGCATGTTTCATTTCTATGCAGATTCCGATCAACGTGGTATGTACAGTATGCAGTGAAATGTAAGGCAAACAACACCATCTTGTGACTGCAATTATAGGGTCAGAGAGGTCGGGGGGGGCGGGGGGGAGTTTACCATAACATTGCTTTTACTTTCTGGGGTTTTTTTTTTCTTCTTTCTACTAACAGTTCCATCTTCCATCCATGGAAAAACTATTTTCTATCCATCCAAAAGGTTTCAAGGATCGATTTCCCAAATGTAAGTACAGACTGTTTACCTTTTCAATTGAAACTGCAGTATGTCCTAGAGAATTAGCCTAGCTTAGCATAAAGGATCTCTTCTGTAACTTCAAACTTTAACATTAAACTTTCATAGTTCACTCCTGGGAGCTATAACAAAGGGCAAAAAGTGCCCCAAAAAAACAACACAACAGAAAGAAAGTGAATGTAGCACGAGCCAATGTATGGCGTACAACCGGCTAAGTATACCAGCCGTGTGAAAATGGTTTTAATCGCCGTACGACGGAATGACGGAACAAGACTTTCCATGATAGGACGCCGCAAACCGAGGACCTCCCGTAGAGACCGTAGCTAAAAACCCGATGCTGAATGTGCGTTATACAGTTTGCCCACGTATCCTATTAATACGCCTGTCCTACAGGTGTGTGTGTGTGTGAAGTGCACGCAGTGAGTGTAAGTGACATCTACACAAATCTTCTTATATACTGTGTATTTTATACATGGCACAAAGTGTTATAATGCGTATACAAATGTAAATCCTAGCCTAGCATCGTCCTTCTCCACCAGGACTACTCTGTACTTCACTGATCCAAACACTATCAATATGAAGAGCAGCAGCTATGTATATAAACACGACTGGAGGTGGGCGTTTACCCATAAAACATCACTACATTGTCTATACAGACAGCTTCATTCAAACATATCTGTGCGAGTGAGTGTTTAAAATACCACAGCTCTGTTTACCTACGTTTCAAACTTCTATAGCCCAGCGGGCCGACCGTCTAGCACGTGCGTCGTCGCTGCATCTACAGTATCTGGTGGGCCTAGTAAATGTCATAATAATATGTCCACTGTGTGCTGTGGAATGCCTGGCACGCAGACTCCTTAAGCCATCTTCTGCTGTCAATGGGCTTCTTTGGTCGCTCTGAGGTAACTCAGCAGGGAGAGGCCGTAAAAGGAAGGCCATCGCGGCTAAAACTTCACTGCAGATGGAAAGCGCATCAATCGCTCCTTTCTGTGTCTTTTGGTGAGAGCCCCGGCGCTAACGTGAAGGCTAACGATGACAGCGGCGAAGGCGGTGACAAGGCGCCGGCTCATCGCCTTCTCATCGCCGCACTTGACTTCGTTCGCTCCGTGCAACATGTGTGTGCGCGCTCGCACATGTGGCTCTGCGTGTGTTATGTGCGCACAAGGGGGGCATTGTCATGGGACGAGTGAGCGTCAGGGGGTGAAAGGCACCGGGATACAGTGCTTTACACAGGACATCGGCCGGGGCAGTTCTTAGAGATGTGGAGAAAGTTGGAATGCAGAGAGGAGGGGAGGGGTCCGGGGATGAGGCCTTACATGGGAAGACATGACGGTCAACATGTTGTTCCCATGTTATGCTAGCCACTAGTGAGAGTTGGTATTGCCTATACTAGCAACTAGTGATACGCAATACCACTAAATATTTATTCGTTACGATACCGATTACTTTTTGACAAAAATTTTTTCCGATACAAATATCGATACTTTTTGTGATTTTTTTTCTTTTAACCCAATACAACACTTGACAAATACTAACCATAACGGACAAAGATATCAAGTGGACTTGATCACATGATCACATGGGGTTATGTGGTCACATGACATGAATGGATCAGATCAATATTACATTATGGTGGTCAGGGGGTGTAGTAAGATACCCTAAAAGATGTGGTAGTGACACATTCATTTAATAATTATGTCACGCGATACGTCGATACCCCAGAATGGATACTGCCGTCGCTACTTGCGACTCAAAACTATTTTCTGCGAACTTGGTTTCTCTTGGATATTTGGCTTAAAATATTTTGTCGTTATTTTATCTCATGAGATTGCGTTGACTTTTTCCTTCACTGATAATGCTGACGCTACAATTACAGGAAATCCAGAAGGAAAAATTATTATATCGGCCATAACCAAGACTCCGTAGTTTCACTGAAAACATATACATTTATATAGAAAATGTATATTGTTTAACAACTCAGTAGCCTGTAGTCAATGCATTTCTCTCATATCAAAATATCAACTGTTGCTATGGGTGGGCTTCACGTTCCCTTAGCTAAGCTTGCAAAGACACTTATGCTGACTTCAAAGAAATTGAAAAAAACATTCTTAAATGGAGAACTTGTCCAGTATCTTCACAATGAAACTTTTTTATCTATTTTTTCTTTTTACAAAAAGGGGCTGAATCAGGCAACAATTACTGGAAGATTTTGTTGACATTATCGTCAAACTGAAACTTTATTTTCTGACTACTTTAACTGGCATTCATTGAGTAAATTAGCAATTAACTTTAAAAA